TAAATACAACCGACTTTTCTTATTTAATTTTTAGGTAATATCAAATCAAGATATATCGCACTCCAATGGTTCTATAAGTTATGAGGCATGTACAAATTTTCAATATTCCCGCAAATATCAAAATCGACTTTTAAATTTTGTTAGAAACTAGATTTGTAAAGGATTTTCAAGTGTCCAGAAGTTCCTAAACACTTTCAATGATATTTAGATTTTCAAAGAAATCTATACCTTCCTAAGGCTTCTAAAAGCATCCAAGAATATCAGAAATAGCCAGAAAGTTATAAGTGTACCCAGGAATGTCTAAAGACGTACTGAGATTTCCCAAAAAAAAAAAAAAGGTGACATCCTAACGATTTCTGAAAGTATCATGGAATTTCTATAACGGTTTAGAACATTCTTAAATATTGTCTTTGTTTATAAATATAATGTTTTAGGAATTCCCAATGATCAGCAAGAACTGTTTAAGGACGTCTAGGAATTTTCAGAAAATTTTCAGCAACCTCAAAGGATTTGTAAACGTGACAAAGGACTTTCAGAGAATTTTCTACAGATTTTGTGGGACTTGTCAGATTTTAGATTTCATTTTAAAAGATTTCCAATGATATACAAACATATCTAGGAATATTAAAGATGTTCCGGAATTTCTAGAGAATCTTCAAAAACTTAAATTTTGTTAGAAAGTAGATTTATTAAGGATTTTCAAAGGTGTCCAGAAATTGTTAAACACTTTCAATGATATTTAGATTTTCAAAGAAATCTATACCTTCCTATGGTTTCTAAAAGCATCCAAGATTTTCAGAAATAGCCAGAAAGTTATAAGAGTACCCAGAAATGTCTAAAGACGTACTAAGATTTCCAAAAATATATGTGACATCCTAAAGATTTCTGAAAGTATCATGGAATTTCTATAACCTTTTAGAACATTCCTAAATATTGTCTTTGTTTATAAATATAATGTTTTAAGAATTCCCAGTGATCAGCAAGAACTGTTTAAAGACGTCTAGGAATTTACAGAAAATTTTCAGCAACCTCAAAGGATTTGTAAATGTGACAAAGGACTTTCAGAGAATTTTTAACAGATTTTCTGGGACTTGTTAGATTTTAGATTTCATTTTAAAAGATTTCCAATGATATACAAACATATCTAGGAATATTAAAGATGTCCTGGAATTTCTAGAGAATCTTCAAAAACTTAAATTTTGTTAGAAACTAGATTTGTGAAGGATTTTCAATGATATTTAGATTTTCAAAGAAATCTATACCTTCCTAAGGATTCTCTAAAAGCATCCTAAAAGCATTCTAAAGATTTCCTGAGATGTTATAGAGTATATCCCTGGTTTATAATTACTTGCTGCGAAGTTGTGCTACTATTGCAGCCATTGAGCAGAATGTGTTTTGGGATATTTTAAGATATCTGGTAATTTCTAAAGATTTCCTTGAAGTTCCAAGATTTTCCTAAGATTCCAAAATATCTTAAGACGTCCTGCGTGTTTCAAAGGATTTCAAAAGATTTGCAAGGGATCCAAAAGATATTAGAGAGCTTTTGAACATTCTAATAACTTTTTTTATGTATTCCAAAACTATTAATGAATTTTTAAAAACTTTCTGAAACATTTCAAGTCATTTTGAAAGTAATGTAAGCTTCAGAGGATTAGATATGAGAAATGATTTTCAAAAAGATTTTTTGAGAGTTCTTAAAGCACTTTCAAACATTTCTGGAGATTTTCCAGGGATATCCAAGATTTTCAAAAAAAAAGGCAAAGTGTGCTAAGTTTTTACAATGATATCCAGGAATATCTAAAGTCGTCCTGGGATACTATAAAGAATTTTCAAAATTTTTAAAAGACTGCTAATGAAACCTAAGGATATTTAAAGTATTTCTAAAGATTTTCAAAAAAATCCAGACCTTTCTAAGGAATTCCAAAATTTTCCTGGACTTTCTAAAGATTTTCTGAGGCATCTCATATACAAAGATCAGAAATGTATAAATGTATCCTAAAAGTTTCGCAAGATGTTCATAGACATTACAGAGCATTTCCTGGGTGTTTAAAGATTTTTCAAAACAGCCAGCGTGTTCTAATTACTTCCAACGTTATCCAAGAATCTCTAATTTTCAGTAGTAGCAAAAGTATCAAGAAGTTTCTGAAGCTTTTCTCAGATATTTCAGATCATTTTGAAACATTTTCTATAATTTGTAAAGATGTCTAGATATACCTAACAATGTTCAGAATTTTCAGAAAATGTCTAAAGATTTTTTGGGACTTTTTAGAGCATTTCCAAGTATTTCTAAGGATTTTTAGAGATAAGGTTTTCTGGGAGTTTCAATATTTTTATTTTTCAGAGAATTTTCAACAGATTTTAAAAGATTGGTAATGAAACCTAAGGATATTTAAAGTATTTCTAAAGATGTTCAAAGAAATCTAGACCTTATTAAGGAATTCTAAAATTTTCAAGAACTTTCTAAAGATTATCTGTGGCATTTATAAAGATCAGAAATATATAAATGTGTCCTGGGATTTCCAGAAAATTTGAGATGTTTTGTATTATACATCTAAACCTTTCCAAGGAATCGTAAAAGCTTCGCAAGATGTTCATAGACTTTATAGAGCGTTTTTAAATGTTTCTGAGAATTTCAAAAGATATCAAGTAATTTTGTAAGGTTTTCTGGGTGTTCCAAGATTTTGCAAAACAGCCAGCGTGTTGTAAGTGTTTTCAACGTTATCCAGGAATATCTAAAACCACCCTAGAATTTCCAAAAATTTTCAGAAGTACTAAAAGGAGCTTTTAAAGAATTTCTAAAGGTTTTTCAAAGGAATTACAAAAGCATTAAGAAGTTACTGAATTTTTTGAGATATTTCAGATCATTTTGAAACTTTTCCTGTGATTTGCAAAGTTGTCCAGGATTTTCAGAAAATGTCTAAAGATGTTTTGGGACTTTTTAGAGCATTTCCAAGTATTTCTAAGGATTTTTAGAGATAAGATAATATTTTCAAAATAGTCAGAGTGTTCTCAGTGCTTTAAACGACATTCTAACGACGTTCTGAATAAGAATACTAATAATATTAATATAATAGTTAGGACTAACCAATTCGGTTAAGACTTTAGGTCTTATTATTGATGATCAGCTTGCGTTTGGTGAGCATACTAATTTATTATGTAGGCGTGCTTATGGTTCCCTAAGAAGGCTCTACTGTAGTAAGATGTTTTTATCGCAGGGTTTGAAACGACTCAGGACTTTGCATTCACAGCAAAGTTTCTAAAAGTTTTCTGGGATGTTTTAGAACATTTTCAAATATTTCTAAGAATTTTTAAATATATCTAATAATTTCTGGTATTTTCAAAAGTTTCAGAAATAGCCAGAAAGTTATAAGTGTACCCAGAAATGTCTAAAGATCCTAAGAATTTCTGAACGTATTATGGAATTTCTCCACATTTTCTATCACGTTTTAGAACATTTTTAGATATTGTGTTTATTTGTAAATTTAATGTTTTAGGAATTTCCAGAAAATTTTTAGCAACCTCAAAGGATTTTCAACAGATTTTCTGGGATTTGTTAGATATCAGATCATATTAAAAATTTTACAATGATTAACAAAGATATCTAGGAATATTAAAGATATGATGGGATTTCAGGAGAATCTTCAAACACTTTCTGGTGACTACACAAATTAATTTGCAAAGACATTAAAAGATTTTCAGAAGCAAATCTTTTGCCTGCCAATCAATGAGACGCATTGAATTTGAAATAATTCTTCCGTGATCTACATTAAGCCTTATAACGGTTTATTCAAATGTTACGTTAGGTGAGCGTCCATCGTATTTATGTACGTAGCAGATCGTAACATTTCTGCTGGGTTCCCTCTCTCTAATTAACTTAAAAAAGAGGTATGTACGCGTACGTGCCCTGTTTCCTCGCTCCAGGATGTATCCTCCAGTATGTAGTAGCTGTGTCGAAAAGGTTAAAAAAAATATGTAGACGCCAATCGAACGTCCGTCTTCTATTCTATGAAAAGCTAAACGATCCGTTTGCAGGTTGACCCCGTCCAAGTCGCCAAATGAATAATAAACGCGTCTTCGGAGCGCATGTAAAAAGCAGTAATTGCCTGATGGCGAGTTGGCCGTATAAGTTTACGCGATCGACAACAACGAGTTAAGTAGACGAAGAGAGGTACGAAGGAGACGGTTAATAAGACGAAGAAAACGATGACGACGTTTTACAGGTGGTTCTACGAATAGTCCGCGAACTGTTTAATTAGACGAAGACATGACTGGATAATTAATGGTGGAAAACCGGGAATTTTTCCTATATACGCTATAGACTAATCCGTTTGTTTGCCAGAACGGAAATGAAACGTTGGATTTATTCTCTTAAGTGATGTTTACCAAAAGAAGATTTTCTTTTTTATTTCCAAGAATGTTTGTAAATTTCTTGATTGAGATGAAAATTTTTTAAATAATTTTCAAGAATTATGATTATAATAAAACAGTTTCAACTGAGTTGACTTATATCGAAACCATTTAGTAGAAAATACAGATTCAGGAACCGGGCGGCCAGTTTCCGCTACATTTGGCTCACGAATATGAACTTTATCTCAACGGTAGCCATTCGGCCGGAAATGTACGAAGAGAATTGCGGTTTCGTGCCGGGCATTGCCGGAAGCTATCTCGCAAAATTTTCACGATATGCATCCGCGATGAGCACAAACTCAATGCGTGCGTTAAAAATTACAAGAAAATAAAACTAAACTCACCTTACTCTTAATATTCACGCTTTAAGGGGTATTTGCATGTTTAACAAACCTTTAAACCGGTACGGTGCTTAATTTAACACGAAAATAATGCTAATTTTTATTTATATCAAGACGATTTTTGCCAATAATAATTTTTAATACAATTTTTTCTACACCATATAGTCTATTTTTTTTTCTTAATTGGTACTAATTAATTAATAACAATCACGTTATTATTTAATGTTAATTCTTTTATATATTTTTAAATGTATAAATTTAGTTATCCCGATGGTTTTCAATTAAGGAAACAGCGAGGAAGTTCCAATGACTTATTTTCCGGATTGTTGAGTAAAAAACGTCAAGTTAACAGTTTGAAATGCGTGAGTTAAACTGGAATTAACGTCAACGTATTGTGTTAATCCGAACACGCACGTTTAAGCCTCGGGCGAACGTTGATTTTGCATTGTAAAATTGAAGAACCATCGCGTGCTACCATTTATTAACGATAATGAAGATTACGTAAAAATTTATGTACTATATCTTCTTTAGATGAGAACGTAGAATATTATTTTAAACTCGCAATTTACAATTACAAATATGCCAAGATACTAATAATAGCAATAGAAGCAAACCAACGAACGATATATTTCTTTGAAGTTTTAGAAAAGGTATAATCATTGTAAGAGATGGTAGGATGAGGTGAAGCTCTCAAGAATAATATCTCACTTTGATAAACACCAGAGTTGGAATCGTTCGTTTATTGTATGCATATTCATCACGGTCTCGCAATAACTACTAGATCCCTTGGTGTGTTTGTCTTAAGAAGAGGAAGTTTGCAGCTTTCTTGTCATGCTGGTATCTTTAAGCGGTATTGATGATAGGTAGTGGTTACTGCCAGGAAGACGCGAATGAAACACGGTAGTTATTTAGAATTCTCTTTTTCAAACTGTTAACTGAAATTTAATCGACTTTTTTTGTATAAATACGTTTTTATAATTTTTTATTTTTATTTTTACACTTTCTTATAGTTTTTATAGCTTTAGTTCTTTATGCGATTCTATAAAGGGTTCTATTTGTGGTTTTATAACAATACTCTTCTGATTTCTAAACAATTAACAATTTTTTTTATCATTATGATCAATTAGAAATTATTTCAGGTAATTTTAGAAACTAATACAATAACTACTTACTTTAATAGACTTGAACCAATTCTAATTCTTCTACATATACTAATATAAATAACAAAATCATATAGAAATTATAGAAATTCTGTTAAAATTAAAGTTTCTACTGATTAATATCTATTAATTATTTTTATATATGGTTGTAACTAGTGATGGAACGGATTTTGCGAAAAGCCGGTTATCCGGCATATCTATTCGACTTTTTTGATGCTGATTTAACTAACGAAGCAACTCTAAAAAGAGGATNGTTGTAACTAGTGATGGAACGGATTTTGCGAAAAGCCGGTTATCCGAGATATCTATCCGGCCATTATGGTTGTAATTCTTGGTGCATTTCTGAAGTGATACCCTACATTGCCAGATTATTGCGATATTTGAATAAAAATGAAATTAATAAGAAAGCTGATAATATATGTCAACTTATTTGGATCCAAGATACAAAATGAACTTTTTTGATGCTGATTTAACTAACGAAGCAACTTTAAAAAGAGGATATTTTAATTAATAATTGGCGATATTTTCACAAGGATCCTTCAAGAAATTAATTTTATGGCGGCGAATTTTATCAAAACTTCAAATATTGTTTTCTCAAAAACTAAAAGTTATTTTTCAAAACGTGTTAGTTCATTGGAAAGAGGACACTTTTATTAACACTTTGGGAAATTTTCATACTCATATTCCAAGAAATGGATTTCATACGAATTTTTAAAACTTAATCGGCGAAAACTGCAAAATTCGAAAAAATTGTCGATTATTTCAAAAATTTATTCCTCAAGAACTGAAAGTGATTTTTCAAAACGGCTTGTTGCATTAAAAAGAGGATACTTTAATTAATAATCGACAGTGATAACAGCGACAGTTCTGTTAGTAATGAATGTGATGATGAATTACAAGCAAAGAGAAGAAAACTAGAGGAAACTCCAACAAGAGATTTTATATATCGTATTGGGATTGTTACAATGAGGTTGCTAAAAACAAACCTGATATAAATAAAGTTGTATTCGATGAAAAAAGTCCTATTGGGGTTGAACTTGATTTTTATCTAAAATTATCTCCAAAACATTCACTTCCTGTGAATGGTGGAGTACTGAGTTCCACCACTAGTTGTAACGTATTTATTTATGTTATTATCATTTTTATCACTATTTTGAAGAATCTGAAATCGGCAAACTCAATCCAAGTCGTTTCATAGAGATAAATTAGTTAATATTAATAAGCTATAAATAAATTTTCATTAAGTTAATAAGTTAATCATGAACTAACTGTTAATTCTTTTATTGTTTAAGGAAATAAGAGCATATCCAAGACTTCACAAGGTCGGTGTTACTTGGAGCAGATCCTCAGTTATAATATTGCATCTTAGCCAAATGCCATAACCTCCCATGGTGACGAGGTTGAAGGTCTACTCCTTATTTTGCCGCTTACAGCCTCTAATCTAGACGTGTATCATCTTCATTTTGACCCAACTAACAACATATGAACAACGAGGTCTTGTCTGAAGAATCTCCAAGCTGTTTGTTTTGTAATGAAATGGTGCAATAAAATCATTGTTTCAGATTCAGCCGTTTTGAATGGATGATATGGTGGTTATTGTGATGTAATGAACATCTGCTGTGGTTTCTGAGGAAGTTTCTCCAAACGCTGAAGAATAAAATATGCACCTTCCAGATAGACTAAAGAAGGCATGAATTTGGTCTCGATAAATCTTTTGCATCGACTTCCTCTGCGTTTCTCTTGATCTATCTTTGCTGGAGTCTTAGCCGATTATCAATAATGTAGTAATCAGCGACCACCACGACCATTGCAACGTTGAATGTGCCTGCGATCTTGGTTAGAACCAACAGCTTGATGGTAATTATTTAACACTCCAATGGCACAGTCTTGAAAGTAAGCTCTAGTTTGATTGTGATATGTTGTAGAATTTTCTTTTTTTTTATTTTTAGATGAATAATCCTTCTTCTTGGTGTCTCGATGACTCATTATGCAACTAGATACAAAAATGAGTATATCTTGTCAAGTAATGCAGTTGATAAGAGATGTGATCGCCGCTGGTACACCTCGGAGATAATTATGGGAGGCTGAGTTGGAGATAATATTGAATCTCCTTCTAATAATTGAGTCTCGGTGTGTGATGGAGAGGGAGCTTCCGGAGTTGATGATTAGTTATCCCCGTTGAAAAATGCTCTTTAAGTATTGAGTCTCATTTTGGTCAGAAGTTCTATTTCCAAAGCAGGCAATTTTGCTTCATGATCTTTCCAGTATTGATCCAGTTATGGTTTCAAAACTTTATATATATAAAAAGGTATATTTTTGTAAAAGTATATATTTTTTAATGAAGAATAGGATTTCTTTAATCACAGTAAATTTCTAATGATAAAAAAAGCATCAGACAATTACGTTTAAATATGTTCATTCTTTGCAATTCTAATGGTTTTTATGACTGATCAAATATAGAAGTAGAAGAAAAGTATCGGTCTATATGTGGAATCCGGTTGTAAATACAGTGTAGGTAGAGTAATTTATCCTTTTTGTCGGCGTTTAAGAAAAGATTATGCTAGTATGGAGAGGGTAGCACTATAAAAGTCCGATTAACTTGAGCGATCTCGCTCAGATAATTGGACCAGAAGGAATTTTATTAAATGATATGCGGCTGGCAATTAAAAATGCTATAAGGAAGAGAGGACGAGGCTCGCGCGCTCGCCGATATTGTTCCCGGGCAATAAAAACAAGTGTTATTGCGCTTAATTGAATTTTAAAGCCTAACCGTACCGGATGGCTGCTGGATGAGCTGCGTTTTCCAAGATTTCCACCGGCGACCGTCTTAACCGCGACATCAAAGAGCGCGATATATTTTTTTTCATTCGCTCCGTCGCCGACATATGGCGTTGTTGTCGCGACGCACAGTCGTCGGTTGGTTCCGTTCTTAATTGTTTAGAAATCAACGCGTAATCTATATGATATTAAACCCAGATGCGGTTAATTCATGGAAGTGTTTTATTTAATTATCGGTTAAACGAAACAAACAAACAATTTATTTGTTGTAAATGGTTTTTATATTGAACAATCAAGCCGAAGTTGATTTCCGTTAAATTGTCCGAGACATTCATGATTATTTAATTAAAATTCTGTTTTTATCTCAACAATAATTTTACCTTCTTTATCACCTAAACTTTCAAATTGGACGTCAAAGACAAAATTAAAATATGTGTTGAAAGAAATAAAAAAGTTTTGAAATTGGTTACGTTAACATGACGAAGTTATTACTTCCTTAATGGTGACACCTGCGTAAAATAAATAAAGTATATAACTCTTGAGCCGTTAGTATGTAAGTACATACAGTATTTGCACAACCATTTTCTTTGTCAATATACAATCGCACGTTACACAACGATCGAACGAACGAACGCGTAACGTGACAACATATTGAATCAGAGCTCCTGGAAATAGTTGCAGCTAAAAGAATTTTTCCCGTCATTTCTTCTTTATTGAAAAACAATCGTGGAAGCAATAGCTTAACGACGACAACATCCCGTAATATCCCAGTCTCGGGGTATCGCGAAAATTCCAAGAAGGCACAAGATGCCGGGGCATAATGTTATTATTGCGAAATGTGCGTTGGATGAATGAAACACGAGGCCGATTCATAAGCATAACGAAGAAGGTAGTTGCGACCAAACTATCCTCCCTTCTTGAACGTCAACGTCGTCGTCGTCGTCGGCGTTCGGAGTTGCTCACCGTGAGAATGAGAGGGAAAAATGCGGACCAGAGAATGCGAACGCGTGATACGTTTAACTATTGTAAATTAAGACCTTTTTTCTGGCCGCTCCGACAGCAATTACGGGCCGCATTTAGTTTTCCTTGGCTTTTCAGAAATCTTTATGCCCGCCACTTAGATGGAAACGTAACGACGCGGTCGTTATTTACTTTATATTTATACGCGACGAAATTTCCCCCGATGTTAATTGCCCGTAATGGCACCGTTGCTGGCCGATTGTTTATTGTGCCGACGAGAAACGCCAGCTTCTTAACCATCGTCGTCGTCGTCGTCGTCGCCGTCACCGTCCTCATCCGACGACGTCGACACCGAGATGCGCATTTTTAATTTCCCCCCTTAACGACATTTTTATATAACTGGAATTCGCGTAACACGATTCAATACCGTCTTTCTCATTCGAGATACGGATACGTTACATTTCCACTTTTGGAACGCTATTTTAATTACATTACCCTGAATGTCTTAAAAAAAATGTACTATCAATTAAAAAATTCATGCATCAAAAACTCATTCGTATATATTGAGTATCCCACAGGTTCCCATCAATATAAATACCGCTACACTCTCAACACTTTATACATCTACACTTTCGGTCTTAAATGCAATTTTAAAGCTTCGAAACAAGAAACACCTAAATTAAGAACCTTAACCAAGATTGAGAACTTAAATAAGACACTCGAATCTCTCTTCAATCTAACACAGATGCAAACCACCTCTAGGAACAAACCACTATGAGATCAGAACATTGCGACTGACACGATAACATTGCCAAGTTATGATAGTTTAGTGATTATGTGTCTAAACCCTTCTTGATGTTCGGTTTGTTTTTAAGCTTTTTTAAGCTTGTTGCGTCTTCTATGGAAGCTGTTGTTTTCTCCATAAACCCATACCTTCAGTTTTTCGCTTTGTTTATCGAAGGTCATAGTACACTGCAAGCTACTATATTAACTCCTTTAATGTTGTCGACTATGACCAGTAAGTTGTGCTCGTATTGCAAATCCTGCTTAATTTTTAAGTTCTAGAAAACACCGATCTTAGTCATAGCTCCAGGAATAAACAACTGCGAGATCAAAACATTGCGACTCACATGATAACATTGCCAAGTTATGATAGTTTAGGGATACTACGTCTAAAACACCCTCCCTAACATTCGGTTTATTCAGGTGGTGTACCAAAAAAGTGTTAACCATGATCAGTAAGCTGTGCTCATATTGCAAATCCTGCTTAACACCTCTAGGAAAGACTATGGATGCAGAGACCCGACCCACAACAACAATCTTAATCTTAGCTTCAGTATACTAAGTTTCAAAACCGTTTCAGAAACCTCTCTGAAATTCAGGGATAAGATTGTTTCGTATGCGTTACGAAAGCTAGGCTTCAAATAATGGTTCCTAACGTGAAAGGTTGAGAAACACATACTTCTAAATCCTTGGTAATCGTGTATTAGGTTTGATTATGATGTGATATTGTAGAATAACAATTTTATTAAAAACCAAGAGTAACGAAGATGGAGAACTTAATATAAGACACTCGAATCTCTTCAATCTAACACAGATCCAAACCACCTCTAGGAATAAACCACTGCGAAGTCAAAATACAAATATTGACAAAATATTGCGATATATGATAGTTTAGAGATAATATGTCTAAAACACCCTCCTTGACGTTGGATTTGTTCAGGTGGCATACCCGTTTGATAGCAATCTAAAAAAAGCGTCTGATAGAAATGGAACAGGTGGGGGAGAAGGTATTTAAGATCATTTCCACCTTTTTATGAAGCTTTACAAAAAGCTTTTGACATAAGCGCTAATTGAGCTTGTTGGGTCTTCTATGGAGGCTGTTGTTCTATTTCGCTTTGTTTATCAAAAGACATAGCACACCGCAAGCTACTATATTAACTCCTTTAATGGTGTTGACCATGATCCGTAACTTGTGCTCATATTGCAAATCCTACCTAACACCTCTAGGAAAGAGTATAGATGCGGAGACCCAACCCACAATAACAATCTTAGTCGTAGCTCCAGTATACTAAGTTTCGATCAAACGAATAACGACCGAACCTAAAGTACTTAAGAGGTCTAAAGATGCAATTAAAAGAAACCGTTTCAAAAACTACTTTGAAATCTAGAGATAAGATTATTCCATATGCGTTGCGAGAGCTATGCTTCAAATAATGGCTCTTAACGTGAAACACACATACTTCTAAATCCTTGGTAATCTTGTATTAGGTTTGATTATGATGTTATATTGTAGAATAACAATTTTATTATAAACCAAGATTAACCAAGATGGAGAACTTAATATAAGACACTCGAATCTCTCTTCAATCTAACACAGATCCAAACTACCTCTAGGAACCAACCATGCGAGATCAGAACATGATAACATTGCCAAGTTATGATAGTTTAGGGATAATATGTCTAAAACACCCTTGACGTTGGGTTTGTTCAGGTGGTGTACCCGTTTGATAGCGATCCAAAAAAAGCGTCTGATAGAAATTAAACAGGTGGGGGAGAAGGTATTTAATATCATTTTCATCTTTTTGTGAAGCTTTTCAAAATCTTTTGACACAAGCGCTGATTGAGGTTGTCGTGTCTTCTATGGAGGTTGTTGTTCTATTTCGGCACAATTTCGCTTTGTTTATCAAATAATAATAATAAACTTTATTTCTATAAATACAAGAAAGCATAGAAAACGTCAAAAAGAAAAAATTCGTTAACTGTGTACAGGGTTCTTCCAAAAGATAACGCTTTATATAGAGACTATTAGGTATGTGGTTGTATACTTTAACACAAAAATGAACAGTACTTTTTTGCGCTTTGGCTTACTGAGTTTTTGGTGGCAGTAAATAATAATTTTCCATACCCCTTGCTCCATAACCATGTTGCTGTTCTTATTTTGAAAAGAAAGTATAATTATTCTTTACAAACATTGCTGATTCAAGAATTGTTATAGATAATATAGATAGGTTTATAGATAGGTTTACATGATTCTCTCATTGGGAGACCAAAAACTGCTCTCACACATTTTTTTTGAGCAATGAAAACGCGCCTTATTTCAACTAAGTGTCCCCAGAAAATAACGCCATACCTGAGTCGCGATTCTACACACGTATAATACGCACTAATAGCTGTGCTGACCGACACTAACCGAGTAATTGTTCTCAACGCAAAACACATACGATTTATCTTGATGGCTAGATCATTGATGTGGTATTTCCATAACAGATTCGAGTCAAACTCCCAAAAACATAAGTTCCTCTTGCAGGTAAATTGTTTACCATTGAATTGTAGATCTATTCGGTTGTTAGTTTTTACATTCCCAAACATCATAATGTTTGTTTTTTCAATATTTAGTTGTAGATTGTTATTAGAAAACCAGTTCTGAAGAACCGTAAGGTTGTTTAAGACCAGTGCTGACATCCGTTCTTCAGTTTTTGCTGTTACGACTGCAGTGGAGTCATCTGCAAACAGTACCAGTAGATCATTGATATATAGAACAAAGAAAAACAGACCCAATATAGACCC